TAAATAATAACAGATTAGTATATTATGTACCAGTAATCAAGTTGAAGATGAATTTTATTTCTGTCTGGTTTGCCTTTTCTATGGTTGGGAAGACAATATATATCCTAGAGTTCGTTCCTGCACTACCAACAAGAGACAAGCGTCTTTCAAATTTTGTGTTTTATGTAACAAGGAAACATATTGTAGTAATTAAGCTGTAATTGCGTTACGACTTCCCTTCTGCACACTTGTGGAGCAGTCAGTTAGCCCGCCCTCTAACTTTTGTCTATTAGCTGTTTTCACTTTATTAACAGTTAAAGCGGGAGGGTCGTCACCTGCGCATGCGCGGGAATTGAGTCTCAAGCGAAGATACTAACACACACTAAAAACGCAAAGGCTCATGGGTAGACGCTTGTTTGTAAACAATGACCATCTGACGCATGAACACGTGTAATAAAAACTGTACATATCTTGTAAACCACTATAGTAAAGTCGGATTTTGCACATTGACTTGCGGATTTAGTCAGGGTACAACATCTGGAGTTAACGATTAGATTGAGAGTAGGCCCTCTAAGGTCTGAGCTGTTACGGATTCTGATGAACGTTTTCGGGAAATATTGTCATTTCGATTGTCACGTGGTTTTGTTGCGTTGAATTATTCACGAGCAAATGACAAAGTGTACAATACAATAATAATATTTATGTAAATTAATACGCGTTTAGTGCTGTGCACTGATTGGTGAATCCTTTTATTTTGTTGTGGTATACCGGTAAGTCTGAAACGCTCATTTTAACTGAGTGTGTTTAATGATATACACCCATAGTTTTAGTCAGAGCTTTGTAAGTTGCACGAGGAATAGCGCCCCCTGCTATTTATTCTGATCAAATCTATGGGTTTACATCTAACATACTTTTTCGTGGTGTTTCTAATACTTATTTTGCTCATAGGTTTATTGTTAAGTATTTGTTATTGTTAAAATAGTCGTGTTATTTTATGCAAAGCCCAATTTTCAGAGAATTTGTAAAATTAATTATTCACCAAAATATTATGTTATACTATGTCTAATGTGCTGGTGCACATCAATAAAAAGATACGGACAACTGTAATTATCTTCTGGCAGCTGAGAAACTGAGCTAACCCGACACTGCGCCCTCTGTCGACAAATATAACGTTTACACGTGTGTTGATAGAGGGCGCAATCGGCGAATATTGAAACCGAGATTCCTGGCTGGATAATCCTAATAGTTATTCGAGCACATCTGTCAGTTCAATTAAACTAATCCAAAGGATCGACCTTGATTGCCCAGAAAAGTGACAAAAACAATAGCGTGTTTGATGAGCTAAACAATTTGCGTTGATTTGCTCAGGCAACTTCACGCTCTGCAAGTTAAAACAACAAAATATTAAATGGACAGGAACATGCCGAAAAATGATATTTCTCTGCCATAACACGTCGGCCTTATAGGAATGATAATAACAGTAATACCAGTGTTGGAATTAAACTAAATAACCGACAGATTATTGTGAATTTTTAATATGACCTTGAGACATGTTAGCAACAGATAGTCCTTTTACTGGCACGTGGCGCTCTGGCGACCCTCGTCGATTAAACTACACACTCAAATTAGTCTCCGTGATAAAAGAATTCCAAGTAAAGTGGTTTTCTATCGTCTGTGATAATAGCATGTCCCCCCCCCCCCCACACACACATACATACCCACTGTTATGATGCACGAAATGGAAGATAGCATTAAGGCATGTAACTCGAATTTAATGTATGGATGTGAATCTTTCGATGTAGGGTAGGGTTGGTAAATAGGATGATACACACTCATTGCACCGTCTTTGTTTGAGGATACGGGCATATGGATTTTCTGTATGCTGATTTATCGATGCATGTATGACTCACAGGGTTTTACATAATCTCATTTGAGGAAAACACCGCTGCGACAATCCGTCCGAACGTGATACATCACAAAAACGGCTTTTTATTTAATCGAATTAGTTTCCGCATCTGTTACGAAACACAAGCACCCAATTTTAAGATAAAACACACGTTGCGACAACGCCACCAACGGCGATGTACGCAGAAACCGACGGAGACAAATCTACACTTAAACATTCTAAGAAACGAAACGAAACGAAACGAATCTCTCGGAAAGAAAACATAGTCTTGACTGGGATATCGCTTAAAGGTTCCCTCAAATTCTAAGACAAGACGGCAGCACAATAAAGGCAGACGTAAAAGCAGGCATTCGCTGTTCGTCGTATATATATCATTAACACAAAGAGGACACTTTAGATTAATACACACAGGGTATAAATTAGAACCAGGGTGAATACTATGATGACCTTGCTCTTTCAAAAAGAATCATTGTGTGACTAAACAAAAAATATAATAATAAAAAAACATTAATCGACAGATGTGAGTGCATTAAATTGATACAAAAGAACCTGCTAGAAGTGAGACGATTGCACATTCCCAGACATCCAAAAAAAACTTGCTCAATCAATGAACTTTCATGCCAAATGTACATTTGAAAAATGCAGAAGTTCCAAAAATGCCAAATGTGCCTAAAATGGCAATTGTGCCACGCCTTTCCCTTTCCAAAGTCGGGTTTCAAAATGACAAAAATACATCTCAAAAATGTTTTGAAACAATTTCAAAAAAGTCAAATTTTAATAGATTTCAGATACTTTTTTGACCACTTTATTTTTAACAAACGTACACTCACCATACAAATACACGTGTTGGATATTTACATGTATGATGTCAACAATGTTAGAAAATGTATACTATGGAATACTTTATTTTCGCTGGAATTAATTTTCGCTGAAAAGGCTTTTTGGGCATTTTGTGTGGAATTTATTTTCACTGATTTTTGATGAGTTTAATGTGAAATATAGGAAAAAAAGTCATCTCTTCAGCGAAAATAGCGAAAATAAAGTCCAAGCGAAAATAAAGTATTCTACAGTATTAATCTGCTGTTGACCATACCTCTCCTTTTCAATATACTGTAACATAATTTATTTTCGCTATTTTCGCTGAAGGAATGATTCAGTGAAAATAAAATCCAGCGAATATACCTTTTTTCCTATATTTTACATTCAACTCAATAAATTCCACACAAAACACCCAAAAAGTCTTTTCAGCGGTTATTAATTTCAGCTAAAATAAAGTACATTATTTCAAAACGCAAAACGCAAATTTCTGTTTAATGTGTAAATTTTATTCTTCATTAACCACAAGGATTTCTTATCCGATTCAGTGATACTGTTGACTTAGCTCTCGCCAAAAGTTTGTTCACCAATTGCGGCCGGCTTTGGCCCAGAAAAGGATTTATTATTCATGTTTCTTGTCATGGGCACATGCATGGGCACATCAGTTATAAAAACAACAAATAGTTTTTTTCGTTTTAGAGTTTAAGATAAATTTAGTTTTCATGAAAAAAAATCACAAACATTGATTTTGACAGAAAAATTGTTTTCTGGGTCCAGTAACCTCATATTTTCATGTTTTCCACGACTTGAGAACAAACCTACTTTACATACAGCATGACTCTGGTTGAAAGCAAGCATTGTAGTAACGAGGCACTGAACAAAGACACAAATGGACAAAACTTGCACCTGTCACATTTTGTTGGTTCTTGTAAAAAGTAACACTATAATGATATTTAGTTGACAACCACCATCAGTGTCAGTTATAATTGAAGTGTTCCTCAACCAGGTTTTACGTATCAGATTACATCTACTTTTGAGAATGCACAAATTAGTCCACGGGACAACGAAGAGACGGTCATCAGACAGGAAATACCGTCCACTAATGATAATTTTATTCTAACAGTTTTTGTTTGTACACAATGCAATGCATCTCCTTTTCTACTAATGCTAATAACATTGTTGCAAATTACCGATAAACGCAAAAAAACGAAGAGAGCTTGTTAAACATTCAATACAATGATACAGAACATTGTGTTTATGAATTAAGAGATTGTTCTGAAGTTTAATTGACATTTTTGGATTGCACAGACTCATTGATCAAATACTTTCCAACTACATGCAACTATATAGATGTGAACACAGACAGTGATGTCATTGCTACATCAGTCGTAATAACAGAGCTATGAAAATTCTGGGGAAAAAAACATGTTTTCTGAAAAAAAAATAAACACTGCAACTTTTCCTTTTGATTTTAGTTACAATAACAAATTTGATGCAAATGGAAACAGGACACTGAGCAGATAAGTTAAATCATTTGGTAATCTGGAACCATATATCTATTTATTTTTTAATATACTTTTGTCCCATGTGACCTATCCCATATTATTACTGTAAACTGATTAATTTATACACCCCAGAAAAATTTTCACTCCAACAAAGTTTTACGAGAAAACTTGTCTGTAGCGAAATTAAAGCACTTACAGTTTACAGCAAGAAGTGAAAACAATATACACTCATTCGTAAAACATCATCAAATTTGTTTGATTACAAAACACCAAAAAAAAATACTGAATCTTTTCTTTCTTTGGAAAATGTGTGCCATATTTACGTCATAAGAGAACACAACCATAGGTGTTGCGTGATTGAAATAGAATCACGTCACGGAACAATTGCATAGGCGCGAATACATCCCGCTGGCATTTTGGTCTCTAATATCTCACTAAATATGACTAAAAACAAAAAAAGATGTAAAATAATATTATAATAAGAATATCGCAAAGTACATGTATGCACTCCGCTACACAAGAGTAGATATTATCACTGTACTGCCTTTGTCATACTTTGCGGTATCCTCATGATAATTCAACCCCAGATAGAACTCAAGACCTACTGAACAACATGCAAGCTATCTTCTATTTATTATTGTAAAAACTGGTGGTTGTTGCTTGCATACTGGTCAAAACTTAGATATCCACTAGTTATCGAGTTAAGATAAAATAATAGAAATGCTGAAAGTTGTGCATCAAAAGGAATAATAGTAAAACAATTCATTTTGTTGCTTTAATTTTGTTGGTATTGCTGTAGATGTTGTTGTTGCTGTGGGTCCAATGTCCCTGCTCCTCGAGCATGGCATAGAGGAGTGCAACGCCTTCAAAGTGATCGGCTGTTGTCTAATCTAGTTCCTTTAATGATGAATCTCTTTAGTAGTCTGAATTGTTGAACAGCATCCCACTATAATACGAAGAAAACCAGTATGCAAATTAGCTTAATCATTGCATTGCGATGGTAGAATAATTTCTATTTTAGTAATTATGCAACCAAATAGTCTCGGAACAAACTTACATTTTTATCACAAAGTTCATTTTCATCTGCACCTCGTTTTGCCATGATGTATTTCAAGTGAAATAATTTGCCATCAAAATATTGCCATGGTAACCCATCCTGCATCCTGATTGGCTTGTAGCAGGCTCCGTTGACAGCAAGTGCGGTGGTGACGCCTCTCAGAAAGATCGTAGCCAAGTGGATAGCTCGTGGAATGACAACATCTATCTACAGTAGAATATATACATTTCAAATGTGTTAAATTTGAGTGAGTGAAAACGTGCATGGATGCCTTGAATGATCATAGTCTACATGTGTTAAAGACACCTACCTACCTGTAAATTGACAAGTGCTGCAACATCAATAGTTGTCATAGAAACAGCCTGCGAAATGAATGCATTCAGCTCCCAATCAGAGATCGCCTCATCTCCAGTATGCTTGATAAGGTAGTGAAGTAAAGTGCATAGCAACCAAAAACATGGTGGTATTTCCTTGATGCTTGCCATGGTTACAGTGCAGTCCATACATGATAGATATGCCTTAAGTCTTTCATCTTCCACCTCAGGTCCTTCTTCCAGCCACAGTCTTTCTAAAGATGGTGTCTCATCTGAAATTAAACTTTCAAATGTAACAAACAGTTTACAATAGAGAATATTTATTGTTATAACTTCTCTGTTCTCAGTTGCAATTGCCAAGATTCAGTTAGCATGATGTACGGTGCATTGTTTATATTTGTATATGCATGCATATATGCAGTTTGCACATAATGACGAAATATTGGCGCTGTTCGATCGCATTATGCATGTACATGTATGTACACTGGTCAATAATTCAATGTATGGGCAACGTTGTGACAGTAGATCAAGAGCTAGCGCAGATCTATGGTTGGTCAAAATGCACACCAGTGCAGTGTCGACCATTCTACATACAACGCAATAATTCTTCATCCTTTTCATAGCATCTTCATTTTCATCTGAATATGCTAAGCTTGTTTGTTAAAATGATTTCTAAAGTATTGGTAATAACAAATTTTAGCAGAAGATACTGTAAAATGACTAATTTTCACTGGGTTTAAATTTCACTGATTAAGCATTTCAGGCATACTCGGTGGGTTTTAAATTCACGGTTTTATCATTTAGATAATGTGTTCTATGCTAAATTTTACATATTCGCCGGGTTTTATTTAGCGCATTTACCAGTCAGCGAAATAAGCAAAATTAAAACCCAGTGAATAATTAACACCCAGTAAGTTCAGAAGGAATAAATTAACATTTGTTTTTATCATGTTCTAATATAAATAAGTGTAATTAACCATGATTTCATTCTTCATCTATGAAGGTCCTTTTCAATTAGTATATTGTACCTGTTTTTTAATAAAAGTACAGAAATATAGAATTTATGGAAAAATAAAGAAAACACCATATTTCCTCAAATAGAAGCAAAACCTATTCTATACTACATCATTACATGATGATTTATTTTTACAATAGATATATACTTTCAAATTCAAGTCAAGATAGCTTTGTGAACAGTCTAATTTAATTAATTTTAATTGCAACTTACAAACCAATTTAGAAGTTTTCAAAAGAAGAGGATTTTAAAATTTAATGAAAACCAATGATTAAAAATCAAAAGAAGAAGGGAAAAAACATTCTGAATAGAATTCACACTTGCTTTGGCAACAGCTTGAGCTTCGGTATTATCCCACATGCATGCATGTACAGTAATGTACACTACCGGTACATATTGTCACAGATGTCAGGGCACTGTCCGAAAACCAAACAGTGATTAGCGAGCGTTCACACACGGTCAGGCAGTGAATTATGTTTTGACAATCTATTACAGTAACAAAAATCAGCAAGAGTTCAGTGTGATAATGATCAAATATCATATTCACATAGTTCGGTGACATTCATCTGAATAAACTTTTAACCCCTTCGCCAAAAAAAGTGACGATTGCTGCCATCAATGACATGCTTGAAGAATCCAGAATCAGTCCCCGCCACAGGCATGATTTTACACCTCAATGCCAGGAATTACACTTATTTATTTTTTTTTAAATAAAATATATTATTCACAGTTTAGTATTTTTTTTTTGTTAATGAAAAAAAATTAAATAAATACATCTCCAAACAGAAAAAAGTAGATCCACTCTTGAGTTCAATGGCATGAAGGTGCCAGCATTAAATCACAGAAAACAAATTTAAGCACAATAAACTTTTTCTTGCTAAGTGAGTTCATAATAATCTGTCTTTCTAGCGTTTTTTGAGGGGCACTAGAATTGTACAAGCATTCACAACATGCACGTTTATATAGAAATAGAATTTTGCGTGTTACAAGAATACATAGTTTGTATACACACAAATTTCAAAAAGATGTCAATGATAAATAAAAAAAACAATTTGTTGCTGTTCCACCAAATATCGTAATTGCCTATTGGCATTATTTCATCAATACAATATCTGTATTGAAGAAATACCAACAATATATGAAGAAACTGACCTGTAGAGGGCGCTGTAACAGAAAATCAGTCTGTAGAAATCAAATAATAAGTATTCATCATGACATTGATCTTTTAATTAAATTAAAGAGTTCAAAAGTTGAGCGCCCTCACATGACTTCGGGGAAACTACCTAATTAACTCAACATATTAATAAATGCTTAGTAGATTTTGAGTACAATTCACATAGGGCAATCTCATCTTTCAATTTTTCTTTTCAGTTCAAATTGAGTAAATTTGTTCACATTTTTTTTTAATTTTCACTAAATTCAAGCTTAATTTTGGCCCAGACAAATAAAATATGACAAAGCTTCAAGCTTTCGATCAACAAATTTGAAATTTTTGAAACATTTTAGTAAAAAAAAGCAGACTATAAATAGAACTATTTTGTGGATGGAGTCTGAAGTTGACTTTGGCACACAAAGGATTTTAAAAACATCACTGCTCATAACTACCCACACCAACCCCTCCAAAAAAAATCAAACTATTATATAAAATATATACAGTTAATGATATAATAGTCATACTTATTTTCTTTCATTGTCCAAACTTTGTGAAATGCAAAAAAACAGTATTTTGTACTGCACACACGTATTCACATATCAACATATATAATACATATTAAACTCAATATACATAAAAATTAACAATTGTACACAAAAATCGTACAAAAGATTCATTCTAGTTAAAAAACAAAAGGTTTTTTAATGATGTTTTAACAACAGTGAATACAAGCCTGATCACCATCGCCAGCAAAACAATAAATAGGCAGTAATTACTTTCTATTGTTTTGTTGGATTAACCATTCACACAGTTACCGTCCCGACCGTCTCCACTAACAAAACTACTGATTTTAATTAGGACGAATCACAATAATAAATAAGACTTGATTACTATAAAGCCAGATTAACGTATACTACAGCAGACAACAGTTTTTGTGGTCACGATAGTGTGTGTATAACTTTTTGATATATATCGCACCCAAGTGAAATGAGTCTGCTTGCTCATTTCAATGAATTATAACAAAATGCACGACCGTATTTACTTTCATTTTGCTACACAGTTAGGGCTGATTACTATTATTTGAAAGATGTAAATTTCATGTGCCTAATCATCATACCGGTAACTTAAAAATAATAATTAACTAACTATAGCTATATTTATTTATGAACTAAGTTTGCTATTTTTTTTTTATAACAGAAATACGGTTAAATAAATTTATGTTAACATGTAAAACTGCAATAGAATTCATTGCTTTGCCGAAAAATCTGTGAATTTACATGAAAAAATTTGTAAATAAGATTAACAACAACAAAAAGTGACATTATAATGAAAATTATTGCTTTTACAGTAAAATAATAACATTCAATCAATATCTGGCCTTACTAATAATTTTCCATGTTGAACAATGGAAACAAATTTACATTTATCGATTGCACTTATTATTGAAGCCATATGTTGTGATACTGACTCAAAGAAAAGTTGATCGTTACATAAACCATTGGCGTAAGGAAACTGGTCAGGAGAATAGCATTTGTTGGAATTATTACACATATTAAACACATTTTTAATAACTAAATTAAAGAATAGTAATTTAAATGTGAAAATCTATTATTTCAGTACAAATAGTAATATATTAATGCTAGCTCCACAGTAATTGTATTGTATTGGTCCCTCATGGCGTATAAGTGCACATGTTAAAAAATTAATTATTTTACCTCTAACCTAATTAAAGCATATCTAATTATGCCAATGTCCTAAAAATATACCAATTTGATAATCAATAATACCGAATACCTGTAATCATCATATTTTACAAATAACTGGGGGAGGAGTAAATAGAAGAAATACTGTCACAAACTTAACCCTGCCAACCTCATATAACCCACTCCCCTAGAATATAACAATATATACCATATGCGTATTATCTCCTATACGAAGCATACATAAACCAAAAATTAATTTTACTGTATGCTGGTTCATTAAAATATGACTTATTTTGACCAAAAACATAACTCTGTCCTTTATTTAATGTATGGACTACTTATAGAACAAATACTGTATTCATATATTAGTTTCAAAGCTTTACAATTTATTAATTATTATGTAGGCATATTAATAATTATTACACAACTGTAATTAATTCTCCATTACACTTGTAAAATATGACACAGACATACAAGAAATATTTAACGACGCGACAAATGAGAGGAAATCAAAGCAATTTAACTTAGGTGCTAAGCAATAAGTAAGAACACAAATAAAGTGTTCCCCCCTAATGAGTCAATAATCGTTATACCCCTACTACAGAAACTGGGAACTAAAAACCAATTATCCAATTGAACACAGGAATAATGCATGTGTAATTTATATCGTGATGTCAGACAGGTGAATGAAGTTTGTATTATTAGAACATTAATCAAATGAATCAGTTTCTTATCGTTCAAATTCCTACATTGTTTATGGTTGTCTGGCATGATTGGCTAATTATTGTATTCTTTCTAAATTTATGGAATTTATTTTATTCACCATTGCTGTATTGTCGATGAACAGTAGTTTGATTTATTTACTTTCAATTTGATATGATTGGTCGGATGGTTTCACTAATATAAGGAACAGGAAGATCTTTTTTTTCTAATTTGGGCATGATGTTTACACTCAACGAGCCTGATTGGCTGCTTATCAAAATTCTGGTATTTGATTGGTCAGATTTGTTTTTTAGCATGGGGGGGGGGGGGTAAATCATTTTCTTTACTTCATAAGGACGAGATTGAGGTTATGCTGAAGTACCTTACACCCAGCTCCTGGAATATTACTGCTTTTTATCTTACTTTTACTGAAATTCTGCCTCAGCAAGTGTTAAAGAGTTGTTGCACCTGGATCAAATCCACATGTTTACAAAAGCATAAGAAACACCCTGACTTCAAATTCTTGTTTAGCAAGGTTGAATTACAGCACTTGGAATTGACACATATCTCCTGATTTATGCAAAGTATTATTAACAAAGAGAGAGGAACCACTGCTTGTAGAAGACATCAAATTCCTGTTATCAATCCCACCACTCATGGACAAATCCATGTCTGTCAAGTGCATTATGTCATAAAATC